ACATACACATACATTCATGTGCCGACTTACCTGCTTAAAGTTTCTTTTTAGTCCTACTACATAAGACAGCTGCTTTTATAAGAGACATAACATTGGGTTCTTATTGATTTTGTTGTTAATCTTATAATTAATGTTAAGTCCCACACAAATAGTATTAGTGACAAAAGCTAGCTCGAATATATGAGCAAGTCAGCGAAGAAAGGTGATAACAAGCTGTTCTTCCTTGTTTTGCCATATGTTAGTCTTTTCGTAGTTCAATTGGCGTGTTAATATATTTCTTGTGTTCTAATTCTGTATGTTCTCTATTTTCGTTTATTTTAAGTTTGTTTGCATTTGCTCTAGTGTTTCTCTGTCACAATCTTATTTTCTTTGCTTCTCTCTCTTGTTGTCCTGTACATGGGAAACTACAGGTTTTGGGATACAGCAAGACAGCCATTACGTCCTACAAAATTGGCTTTTTCTGGTATCTCATCAGATGGGTGAGTGATATTGTTTATTCTTATTCATTTTGTAATTTTTGTGGGTCTGATATAGTCTAGATAGTTCTTCTCAGATGCATGGAATCTTTTTATTGATAATATACTTATGCTATATATATTAACAGGATAAGCTACTTCTATATGCCTGTAAAATGGCTGTATTTGTTAGCAATTGCTTGGCATCAGAGGTTCTTTCTATATTGAGTATTGTTTTGGTTAGGTGAAGTTCGCCGACTTCCAACTCTTTATCTCTATGTTGTCATTGCAAGAATGTGATGCAAGTAGCATCTATGTATGATGCATCTTCAGAATTCTAGTATGAAATACTCAGTTTAAGCACGTCTGTTATTGACATGAAATCAGAATGTCAGGTTCAGAAGTGAAACAGTTACTTTATTTATTGATTTCCAAGTATTAGGTACTGCCCTTTTTCCATTCCTTTCTTGTTTGTGGAAGCTGACTTATCTTTAGTTGTAAGTGTGAAGTAATAAAACTGTGTTTGCTATACCTACATCACATTCCATACTCAAATGCCAAACTAAGTTAGCCCCCAACCACATCTATAATTTTACCAGGACTCCATCAATACATGCTTGGCGGCTGATAGCATGTGTGAAGCATTCACATGTTCCCCTTTGCATGGCTGGTTGTATTTCTCAATTCATTGAGGAACAAAGCACAAACATCATAATTTATGTTTACCATAAACTTCTCATTTTACTTATATATATAACACAAACTTCAGAGTGCATAAATGTATCAAGATTTGTTACAAATATATAAAGTACCGGTTAAATGGCTTCAATGTGAAAGTATGAAAAATTCCTTCTCCTGTTTTCATTGGTTTTCTTAATGTTTACATTAGTACTCTTTGTCTACCATATGGTTCATATCCAAGTTCTAGTTGTATTATTTAAGTGTTTCCTATTTCTCTATCACGGTTTCATGAGGCGCTCACCACCAGAACGTGCATTGTATCGAGTATCCATGTTTATCCTTATGTCGGATTTTTTTTTTCATGCTGTACTCTTATACTGGTGGTTTGAGCTTAGAAATTGGATTACCAATGGCAATGAGTAAACTTCCTGCTATACTCTGATATCAATGAAGAAACTTCCTGCTATACTGGCGCCATAGTACTACTGAGTATCAATGTTTTGGCTCAAATTTCTGATACATAAAATATATTCCATTTTTCAGAGCAAATTCAGTACAATGCGTGGAGAAAACTTATCTACTATCAAGAGCTGACGAAGAATTGTTACAAAGATCGGAATATGATCTCCAGGTTTGTTTTTTAATCTTGTTGAAATCAACTTCACCAGTATTATTTCGTTAAGGTTTTATTATTTGCTTTACAGCATGATTTTTCTGAATGATGCTAACTTTCAAATTTGTTGCTTTTAATTTAAATGTTTCACCCCTATCGACTCCATGTACCTAAACAGTATAGTTATCTCTTTTAAAAGTAGACTTTAAATTTTTTCATTTTGGACTTAAATAATCCATTTGAGTCACTGTAGAGTAAATGTCTTCGAGCCTTCTGTAAGCACCTCTGTTGCATGGAGACGTGACACATGACTAGAAATCTAGGTTCCATGCAAAAAGTAGATGTTGATATCCTGTGCTACTTGACAAGTTTCTAAAGATCCCTGTACCATATGACCGCACTAGATTTGATTCCTGAAATTATGGTTCTATGGAAGACAATGTTAATCTAGATGACATGAATAATTATCAAATGATGCATTGGCATTTGCAACATGACTAATTTCAGGAAGTAACAATCAAATCTAGGTTGTGATGAAAGTTATATCTGATGGAAAGAATAGATGCCATTCAAATCCTACAGATGATTGGATAGATCGTTCCTTCACTGGAAATCCTTTCGAATCTTGATATAGATCAATTTCAAATGCAAAAGTACTGTACGGGAGCAAGTTGGATGTGACAGAGAAGGCTGTTGGGGCTGCTTTGGGTCCTATGCAGACTGCTCGGGTGAAAGGGTCTGTTGTTTGGGGATGGCTGTCAGGTGGTGGTTTATGGTTTTGGTTGACTGTTTGGATTGGGAAAGAGATGGTTTTTCTTGATGTTTAGAAAGAGAAACGTCACGAAGGAACAGGAGGTGATTCTGCTGTGGGAAAAGAAAGAGAAGGGCTGTCTAGATGCAGAACAGAGGAATGAAAGAGGAAGGAGGGAAGATGATGTAGAGCGATCGTGGGCCGTCCATAAGAAGGTTTTAAGACCTATTTGAATATGTTCTATTTTAGTGATATTTGATTTTATCATGTTAGCTGTTATCTTTTTTAATAAATAACATCATAAGCTTCATTAGAAGGCGGGCCATTGATTAATAAAAATTGAGTTATGTCTCTCGTGCACGTGAAGTGTTCTTCGGCATATGTACATTGCCTCTTACTGTGCGAAGCACTTCATATAAAAAGTCCACAAATCCTAATCCTTAAAGGAGTTCAATTGAACACTGTTCAATTGAACAATAGTTCACCACGAAACCCTATGGTGAACTTTTCCCCGTGCATCTGAGACATTATCTTCCAAATAGGTTTCAAAGACCTCTTGTTGGAGATTCTCTGGCCTTTGAAACGAAGCCCTCTGCCTGGCCCTCATCAAGCGAGGATGTGGCAGCTGCAGAAAACAGAGAGCGCATATGGTGCGGTCAGGTGGAAGAGGAGAGGGAAGCTTCATGTGGCTGAATGTTCAGGTCCGCTGTGGCTATATACAGCACAGAGAAGAAA